GGGCGGGATTGTTGTAAAAATTGCTGTGGGCTTTGTACTTTTTCAGATTTGTTCTTGAGAGAAGGTGGAACAAGAAAATCGTTTTATATTTTTATGTAGCTGCTATCACAAAGGTTTATAAAACAAAAATGTTTATGAATACAAGTTGGGTTAGCGAACGGCAGACTATTTGAAAAGTATGAAGCTTAACCTCCATGAATTATCTAGAATAAATCGGTGTTCCGTAAAGCAATAAGAAGCGAAAGGGGAAGATAAAGCTGTTGCATCGAACCGCGAAAGTTTCCCCGCGATCGACGCCGTGGGAGAATGTCATTTAACGCGAGAAATACTTTGAATAGCGATATGCATTATCGCGGAGTTACACTGGAACTAATACCCTGTTTCATCGTAAGCGGATTGGACTTTGAAAGACAGAACGAGAAGGGTAGTCAAGAGCAAGGACGAGAGAAAACGAATTTTCGGGATGATTACAATCGACGGAAGGTGGTTGAAAGTAAAGGGAGTGGAATTCCTCGTGATACCAACGCGCGAACACAACGTGTCGGTGAAACACGCCTTTAGAATTACTTCCTAACATATTACATCATTCTACGATCATACACATATTCTATTTCAAATTGTAACCACATTTTCCGACAAGGGGCTTGGAACGTTGCACTTAGAAAAAGAAGATAACTTGAAGGAGATTCTTATGGATTGGAAAATTTGTGTGCATATACTTGTATATTATGCGCAATTTGGTAGAAACATGTGGGAACATGTTAGGAATTGTATTTAATTTTAATATTCAACGTTGGAAGCACCGAGCGATCAAACAGACTGAATTTTCGTTTATACTGGAAATCACAAAGTTGCACCCACTTGTAGGCAATCTATCTGAAATAGATCGAAAAAGCAATTTCCTCAGAAATATCTCATTTTTGTTGCGCGAAATAAAATTTGAAACAATTTAGCACACGGGCGAATAACAGAATAACAAAATAGAAAGTAAAAGTAGCGAATAACTGGAGGAAAAGTAAATTAGTATGTAGAGTGTGGTATGATTTTTCGGTTTGGCACGGCAACGGCAACAGCATAACAGCATCCCAGGGCGGGCATCGCGAGAATCGGTGGCCAAGCGACACTTCCAACTAAAATTGGCTATTTGTCAAAAGCAAATTTTTGACAATCCCCGGCTCGCGTAAGCGCGCGTGCCCCGGTAACAGTTTGTTTTATAGGTTCGGTGATCCGGGACCTACGCGGTGAAACGGTCTCGCGGTTGAATTTTATTGCACGACAAAAGGGTATCGATAATTGCGCGATCGGTGCAATCAAACGTGACTGACAACGAGCAATATACATACATATAATATCCATCGCATCGCATCAAACGCCGTCCTGAACTATCTCGAATGCCTCGCAGAATTTTGCAGACGCATAATGGCCGATTGCGTAAAGCAATTTCGCGGATCATTGGCACCGAAAGGCATCGGCCTCCCTCCAATTGTCTCGATGAATCGATGTCTCCTCGGGATCCACTAATTTTTCCGCTGAATGATTTAAATCTAGATATGATTTAAATCTCAGATATTAAGGCGTTATTTATTCTTTCAGATACGAATCGAATCGCTTCTCCTCCCCGTTCCACCCAATGTTTTATAAGGACCTTTAGAAACGCGTTACGATCTGCGAATGCTGAAACTCTCGTCGATTATGATTTCCACTGGTAGCACAAGAAAATCCACGCCAGCACTCCGAAATTCCACGGAAATTGGGCTGCGAATTTTACGCGTTCACGATGAAATCAAAGTCGTAGAAAGTCTTAATTACTCAAAAATTTATTTGAACTCAATATGTAATTTGTGGCATTCAGTTTCTGGTGTTTTATAATTCTTCAGGGTGACAACGAAATCACTGGAGAATAACGATGTAGCAGAGTTGGGCATTATTCTCGAATTATTTCGAATAAATATTTATCTAAGATAATTATACGAGTGAATTTATTTTAGTCGAATATTTTATTCGATGACATTTTATTCAATGATTATTCATTATTCGTCGTAAATTATTATATATACTTATTTGAATAAAGATTGTATAATTATTCGAATAATGATGCGAATTTTAATATATAACATATAATAATACGTAATATATAATATTTCTAATATAATATTGTCAATATATTATCAATAGAATTCTTATTGGGATAAATTTGTCTTCGGTTGGATATTTATTCCATGATGTCGAATGGAATGTTGTTCATTAGTTCTTATTTCTTATCCGTCATACGAATACAATTTTGCCGAACTCTGTGGTCCAGAGGTAATCTCGGTAGGCGAATGTGTGTGTCGAGCGTTTCGAATTATTGAACGTTGCGACGAAAGAAGGGCGATAAGAATCGAAGAAATCGCGGTGGAATTTGACGGCTCGATCGGACCGCCCGGATCCGCTCGGCATTGTTAAATATAGACCTGTAACCCCCGAGCATTATTCACGTTGAAGTTATAAAATATTGTCGCGCGCGCGTTTCCCCAGCAGCAGTAACTTTCAATTTGTCGCGCGACGTCAAACACTCGCGGGTAGCTCCGCCACTCAATTTCCGGCACAGCAATTTCCCGTAGCGCGTAGCACGGTGAGGGGTGGGGGGTAGGGGACGGGCTGAGGGGAAGAGGGGAGAGCTAAACGCGAGACATCGCTCCGCTCTCTGCTGCGAAGGAAGGACGGCTTTTGGCATCGACTCGTTTACTCGAGCCAATATTATCAATCGTTCCAATGAGCCTGCTAATGAAATAAAGCTGGCCCCTTATTTCCACTCGGTTCAGACGTGGCGCGGTGCGGCGCGGCGCGGCGCTTGCGAAATCCTCCTGCGACCCGTTCTCCGATTCCGCTGAGTTCGACGATTATTTGCGCGATTCAACGCCTTCTCAAATTTAGCTCTCACTCATTATTGTACAATCCCTAGCAAGTAGATCAGGGCCACCATTTATTTTTAAAAACTTTCACGGCTATATAATATTGAAAGGCCGGAACATAATACAACACTAATTTGTATTAACTATTGTACTAAACTATTATATTTGACTATTATTACTTGTATTGACTATTATATATTGTTGCGAATTACACCATTTCTCTCGCGTCGCGGCATTTTATTTACGATAAAGAATATTCTTCTTCTTCGACGATCAACATCCCACTTCTAAAAGATCTGAATTGTATTTGTATCGAATTGTGTTATAGAGTTATAATATCCTTTATTGTAAATAAAATGCCGCGACGCGAGAGAAATGGTGTAATTCGCAACAATATATTACACACATATATATCAATCATTTATTATACATATTATTGTATGTAATGTAAACATATCTACAGAACGTAAACATATTGTATTAATTTAAGTAAATGTCTGAATTTAAAAGAAAACCATCGGAAAATAATGATAGAACAGAGCATAAGAAGTATGACATATACGTGCTATGACAGTTAATAAAAATGTCTAAAACGTGATAATTACGCAGAGAACCAACTCCGTTGAAATTCATTGGTAGTCACAAAGTTCGAAGAAAACAGAACAAGAAAACAAGACCACAAGTTATTGCTATTGAGTTCGTCAATCATTCGTGTAATGCGATTGAAATTACGACAACAATCTGTAGCTGCGATCTAGTAGAAAAATAGTATATATAATAGTATATAGTATATATTATATAATAAATAATAGTATAATAATAATAATATAATATAGTATAATATAATAATAATAGTATATAATAATTAATAGTAATAGTATATATAATATGTAGTAATAGTAGTAATAGTAGTAATATATATATATTTTTATTTTCGTAGATCGATACTATACTATTATTATATATATATATAATAATAGTGTAGTATCGATCTACTAAAATGATCAATGGCTTAATGGCCACTTATGTGAGATGTCCGGAGTCTCCTAATTAATATTCTTGCCTCCAGAATAGCCATGTTATAAAAAGGAATGGATCGTTTGATAAAGCAAATACATAGTGGGATCTTTAATGTGGCCTGTTTTCGAGCTGTGGACATAAATGCGAGTGGTTCCCGAATTGAAAGTAACAGAAAGAGTACGCTGCTAGAATATAACAGAGTGGTTGGGTTGAAAGGGACGAGTACCTTTTAGGAGTTTAGAGATTACACTTGAGAGGAGCTAGTAGTAATGCAGAGGTGAATCTCACAAGAGCAAGCCGCTCATTCCCACGAAGGATTCGACCGAACTTATAATACCTACGAAGCGACGCGACGCGACGCGACGGGGGATCGGTTGCGGGTTGTGGCACGCTTCCATCCGCTGTCATACCTTCTCCTCCTTTGCATCGCTGTGCATTCATAATTCAATGATGAGCGCCATTTATCTGGCTTCTGCGACCTCGAATTCTCTAGCGAACTCTTTCGCGAGCTCAATTGCAAGCGGCGGAACATCTCGTTTACAGTTTGTCGCACTGGTCAGATATAAAACGTACTATAGTTCAATATGTTTTGAAAGACTAGATTTATTCTCATCAAACCGTCAATTTATATCGCAGGTGAACACGATGAACAGAAAATTTTACAAACAGACGTACAATAATATAATATTACGAAGGTCGCATTAAAATTGAACGAAGGAATGTTTCGAACGATAGCTCACGGTGTATACAAATTCTACATCTATATCGAAATATTTCGAACGAGGAATGCGAAAAGTTCGCTACGCTACGAACTAGTCGCCTTAAAATATTCACATATGCGTATATTCGAAGATCTTAAATTGAAGATATTATATATATACATATTGTCGATATAAAATGAACTTTGCGAATTCTAAAGATTTCCGACCGTCATCTACGAATCTTATCGTTAATAATGAAATCTCCGTCATCTTTGTTCGGGGCTAATCGATTTTCAATGATTTCTCGACGCACTGCCTCGTGAGTCGCATTATCTTCCTGTAGATGCACCTTAGAACGGAATACAAGGCAACGAGCAGAATAATAAGAAGTGCAAGCAGGAACGCAATGACGTCCAAGTGCAGGAGTTTGTACATCTCGGTGTCCCTCGACTTGCAGCGAAGATGTTTCGCTCCTTTGTGCCGCACAACGTGCTCTATCCACCAGATAGCGTTCTCCATCGGGTGATACGGTATGTCGTGCAACAAGTCCCGCAGCTTCCTGATGTTTTCTTTGTAACTAAATGTGAGAAGACAGAAGACGGAGAAGGATTTAATTACTTGGCGACGCTATTATCTGGATTAAAGGCGTTTTTTTCAGGAAAGAAAAGAGAAAAGAAGAGAAGAGAAGAGAATAGAGTGGGCGGTGGCCATTCGAGGGAGCACAAAAGCACAGTGGAACGAAACATCTTAAATGGGGATCCCAATCGTCGAGACGATGCCGATCGAAGACGAGTGATTACCTTGGATTTGAAATTACTTTCAAGATGGCTCGTTTGAACGCCTTCTTCGAGAACTCGGACATCTGCAGATCCTCCGCTACACCGCGCTCCTTCAGTAACTGCACATTAGCGTACTGATCCGCGAAAATCGGCATGCCAAGCATCGGCACTTCGCCTTCGATCGCCTCCTCTGTGCTCTGCAAACCGCCTTGGAAGATGAACAACACGACGTTCGGATGCACTGAATCAGAAATTATAGATTTTGTGGTTTTCTCTGGAGGGATTTCTGGACGGTTGTTGCGCGAAAATTCTCGAGATGCTAACTGAGTATTGCCTGTTGTGGACACCATTTTTTCATAATCACGTTCGCAGGCAATCCTTCTAGATTGATTTCAGACTTCCAAATCACTGTGTAGGGCAGTTCCGCGAAAGTTGACAGGATCGCATTCCGCATTGCCTCGGGAAGGTTTCCAACCTTCACGTTCGATCCCATGCTGAAGTATATGAGACCCTCCTTCGCGTTGTCTAGAGTGGTTTTGAGGTTCTACAATCGGCATTTAAATTGTTTCATTCAATACCGTTCGAATTTCTTAAGAAGACAATATATCGAGATCTTTTAATTTTCCTACCATTTGAAATATTATCTACTCGATTGTGTCGCAAATGTATCAAAGTTATCCTAAATTATTTTCTCTTTTTGGTTCATAGCATCATTTAAAAAGCGTTTAACACACGTGTGGATAAATAATATCAATTGTAAAAGCGGTCAAGTGTGATTTTGCGTGAATTATTAAACCTTAGAAAGCTAGAAACTGTCAATGATAAATATACCATTAGTTTGAACTACCAAGATTATCATTTGCCAAGAGTCTATTAGTTAAAGACGAGCCGCAAATATTTTCTGCTACTGCAGACACATGCGATGTTTACAGGGCCCGTCTTAACTGGCATGCCGGTAACCAAACAAGTAAGTAATTCGAAAAGTTTGACGTTCAAGATTATTTGTATGTCATTCTTGTATTTTGAATCTACAAATCGTTGCAGCATTGTTCTAAGCAAGGGTTAAGTGGAACATTCTTTAGATTTCTCATCGACATGGTTCGTAGAATTTCAACGTGCAAATGTTTCGAAGCGAGTCTAGCGTTCCGAGGTTTTTCGACTTAGGAGAATTACCTCAGGCAGAGCCTTTGGCTTGGATCCGTCCAGAAATCGGCAGCCGCCGATGTATACGAAGTTAGGAACCGACGGTCGAATTTCGACGAGGAACGGATGAATACCAACCAACATGATCTCGAAACGGTCCGCCAACTTATCGATAGGCGATACAGTGTCCCCGAAATGTTTTCGCATCACCTTGTCTTGTATTTTCAAAGTTTTCGTGAAATGCACGTGTACTCCTTTCACTAGATAACCCACCTCTAGCAACCGCTGCCAGAAATTGTCGACCTTAGCTCCGTTCAGGAAGTTAATTCCGTAAGGTGTGGACAAATCGTTCCCTGTGGGACAACAATCGTTCCGATCAATTAGAACTCTTCGCTTTCGCTCAGTTGCGTCAAATAAGCGTTCATTGAAATGATCAAAAGTGCGGGAAAGTCCGCAGTTATTGTACCGATAATAGAACGTTTCTTTCCTTTTGGGACAAACGAATGATGCAAGTGGGCTAATCGAATTACTTCGAAGTCGCGTGATTTTCGGCTCGGCAGTCAGCGTGTCAAAGGATATTCACCCTGTAACACTACGAATCTCTAAATTAAGCTACTACAGTGGAATCGTTTGTTTCGGATTTCGATGCTTGCAACTGCAACGAACGGAGAAAGTCCGCGCGCCACGAATGGTTTCGCATTACTCGTTTACTTATGTGATTTTCTTTTATGAAAAACGCACCGTAATGAAAGTGCTGCATGTACAGTATGTTCATCGAAGATATCCCCATCATCGGTATGTTCAGTCGTTCTGACAGAGCGTACAAAGCGTCGTAGCACAAGTGCTGCATTATGATCAAGTCGAACTTCTCGGTGCTATTTGGCGCCAGAATCTTCTGCATCTCCGGATGCGAGAGGATGGTATCGCTGACTTCCACTCCGAATTCTATAACCGAGTGAGCGAACTTTATCATGTTGGTTCCTAGGCTAACGAAATCCGTTTGGCTCTTCCACTTTTGGACCAGGATGCTTAAATCGATCTCCGTGTAATTGGCTATCGCGACATCTTTCATCGGGTAGGTTGTGAAAACAACTACCTCGTGGCCGCGTTTCACCAACTCCAGCGACACCGAGCGAAACACCAACTGGATAATTCGTGGATAATATTATTAGTATCAGATCGATGTTTCGGATCGTTGGATCCTAGGTTTTGATGCGTTAGGATCTATTTGTTTGGTAGACGAGCAAAAGTGTTAATCGAGGAAGATTTATTTTATATATATATATATATATATATATATATATATATATATATATATTTTTTATATATATAATATATATATATATATATATATATATATATATATATATATATATAAATTTATTATATATATAATATAAATATATATATATATATAAATTTGTTATATATATACAATGTATTTCAATATTATTTTATTATCAATATTATCAATATTATATATTATATATATATAATATAATATTGAAATACATTATATATTTATTTATTATTTATAAACTATGATGCGAGATTTACGGTCCTTAATTTCAGAGGTAAAAGTTGATAGCACGTGTTTCGTCCGATAACATCGCAAGCAATTCGGAAACACTCTTTTTTCGTAAATATTGACTTTTACGTGAATTTCGGCCCAAATTCGCCCGGTACAATTTTGCTCGTCCACCAAAGATTTCAGCAAACGATGATTCGTTTATAAACCTGATGGCTGAGTGACGGATACGGATAGATCCCCAGAATCCTATATCCAGAAGCGATCGATGCAAGCGCTGCGATCACAATACCTATAGTTAGTCTTAGTCGCAACATTTCGACTGTTACGTTCGGCGATTGAAAACGAATTAAAGTGTTTCTAACACCACGGTCACACCGGCTGATCACAAAATTGTATGCAGCAGATAAGATATCATTGACAATGAAAATATTTATTCTTCCGTCATGTCGTCAGCTATTTCATATGTAAATATCTCATTATTTGTCGAAACGTTTCCGTCGCCTTGAATCTAATGTCTGCTGTTTTCGATTCTCGAATAATCATTCGTCTCGAACAAAATCGATTTGCAGTATCTTAAATACTTGATTTTTCGATGAAAGTCACTTGTTTCGAAACACGACACTTTCCTGAGTTTTGCTAAGGAATGGTTTTATTAATATGTACAGAATTACGAAATAACGAGAATGACATTCGACGAACCGAACTCGCGTCGCCAACTGGTAGAAATCTACTTCTCGGCTACAATTTATATTTTCGTACGCAGTAAACATTTTCTAACTGACACGTGCAATTGTGATAAAGATTATAAATCGGACGAGGTTAACAATTGGTCTTCGAACCTTCCCACTAATGAATATTATCTCAGAAATAAATACATCATACGTAGCTCGCGTAATCACCGATGTTATCCAAGCGATTACGACACAGAGATTAGAATCACGTGGGTCGCAAATGAATTCGTCATACTAAATTTAGAATCTTCTGTAGTAAACGAGAAGTTCAGATTAAAGAAACTCAACGTCTTAATCAAACATACTAATCAGAGAATTACGTAACTGTAAATTAATTACCGGCTAATTTCTGGAACATCGGAGACATTGTTAAGCATTAACGAAGACGAATGTTTGCCGGATTACACTGACGGGTTAATTTTTCCGAGACTATTACACGATCACATTGCACAGATATTGTAACATCATTTTTACGTATCGTATGAGATCTCTGAAATTTTCTCAAACGAATTTGTACCTCTTAGCTTTTGTAGTTACTGCAAAAAAGAAAATAGCAGCATGGACTGCTCGAGTGTTTCGATCGGCATAGTTAATTAAGAAGTTGCATCTCTGTAGTTGAAAGGCTACAAACTGGTTAATTTTCACGAATTCCTTGTACATTTCGGAAACACCATTTTACCTCTGAATCTCTTCATCCAAATGAAGAATAATTGTTCACAATAAAGAATCACTGTCCGAGTGACGTAAAATTCTGTATACGTATACGTATGTGTCAAATTTAATCGATTGATCCAAAAAGAACCGGCGATTCTTATTTGTTTCCTGCATTTTACGGAGCAACTTTTTACTTCAATTATATGAAAAGAACACGCTCATAGAGTACAAGAGTACAAGTACTTGTACAAGAGTCGGTCCAGTCGGCCAGAAAATTTTGCCTGCTCGATAAAAAGATGGAAATCGACGGTTTTGATTTATCCTGGTGATTTCGAGGCACGTTGGCGTCCATTCTACCGATTTACCTGCGTCCCGATACCAGGCTGCGGACCCCGAAAACGCGACGTTACCATTATCATCGATGCCGTAGAACGTCATTGGCTTAATTGGTCGGTCGGTCGGTCGCACGTTTCGCCGGTGGTCGGCGTGTATTTGCTGGAACCATGCAGTTGAGCGCAGCCACGCGTGATTTCCCTCTGCTCGGCCATCTGCACGCATCACAAACCCCAAAAGGGTGCTCTTTCACCCGGCCACCATCGCGCGTCGGGCCGGGTGGTCGGGTGGCCGGGTAGCCGGGTAGCCGGGTGGCCGGGTGGCCCCTGGTGGTGGCCCCGGGTAGGTGGTACGCGAGATATTGCTGGTTGCCTGGGTGAAGAGTCGAGATGGCGGCTGCGGGGCCGTCGCGCCGCGCCGGTGGTCTGGAAAGCGACGGTGCGCAAGTTCCAAAACAAACATACGACTTGAACAGGCCGGATCGTTTTCTGGTTGGAATGCTGCCGGGAAAATCGGCACTGAACTTTGGCCAACAAGACCTGGTCCGCGCCGAGTTATGAACGTCGCATTGCCCCATCGCACCCTGCCGATTCGATTTCTACACACACTCGTTATTTTTTCAACAAAGGTCCACCGGGATCGGCGTCCACTGTCCGCCTCTGCGACACCGTGGACCCACCACCTGTCCATCGTAGAATCACCCAATGCGGATGCAGTCGGCTCGACCATTTTTTCGAAATTTCTATCTCTGCGAATCTGTACGACACGATGGGATCCCGCCTTACCGTCGTACAACGCTGCGATGCAGATGCAACTATTTTTTCAAAATGACTGCTTTCGGCAACTGTTTTAGGAAAATTTACGAAACTGGCGAGCATTTGTTTGAATTCGAGGGATCACTCGACCACTATCCTATTTTCTCGTTTATTCTCCTCTACGCTAATGTTAAATAAAAAACGATACAATAAAAGAAGAACAGAGATCTGCAGGAGAAGCTATACTGCCGGGTAATAACCAACAATGCCGTCTTTTGATTTTGTATTAGACATCCTAACCAACTTTAATCATTTCAACGTTTCGTTGAAAGTCGGTATAACAGGTGCATATTCTGCTAGGAAAACTGCATCGCTGTAGGAAGATGCAAGGAAGATGCCTCAATTTTGAAAATTCTTTGTCTTTGTATGAAAGTTCTGTTTTGCAAACCATTTTATCTTTTTTCGATGCAAAATATTTAGAACGATACGGTCATTCATATTTGGATCACATTGAATATCATTTTCTGTTAATAAAGATATTGTACTGAGCATCTGAAATCAATGTTCACTGCACTATGGATTTGTTGCATCTTTACAAAAAACGGATAGGTGTAGTTTCAACAGTGAAAAGAAATGATTAATCCCACAGATTCAGCACTGTTGATCTAATCGCGAGTTTCAGATATTTATTTGGTTGTTATCGGAATCGTAAAGTTGCACTTGTAACAAAAAATTAAGAAAAATTTCTCTTTTTATCGAGGCTCATGTTCCATTGAAAATCAAGCAATCTATGCTTTCCTCGATTATCTGGTTTTCCTCGAAAACAAAGTCTTAAAATAGAAGACGTTAACTTTCATTTCGATGGCAGTACGACGCGAAAATATTATACCAATATTTTCCCAAATCTGTCTTAAAATACGTTGACAAAATATTACGTATGGTTCATTTCCTTTTCTTACATGACAAGAATGTCAGGGATTCCACAAAGCACACCTGTCGAAGGAACAGCACACAGCTAGGTCGCGGAATTAGTTTCAGTGGGGAGATTTTAAAGAAAGAGGCCATTAGGATGGCTGATCGTTTCCGATCAATATTTCAATGAGGTGGGTGGTGGCGGTCGCGATTCATAAAAGTCGCGATCAGCAAATGCCCGGCGCGCAGAAGCAATCCATTCACTCCCAGAAGGATCCCGCGTTTCATTTACCTGGGCGCGGGTCGTTCGTACCCCTCTCCTTCCTCTCTCTCTCTCTCTCTCTTTCTCTCTTTCTCTTTCTCTTTTTCTCCTATCCTCATCCCCATCACCATAAAATTGCGGATACGTCAAAGAGGCGCAGTAACTCGGAAGAAGCAAACGATCCCTCAAATCAGATCGGGCCGAGAGCCTTTGGACGATTCCGATGCTGCGAGAGGAATTGCACGGGGGCCGTTGCTCGAGGAGTCAAGGAGTCGAGGAGCGAAATGTCTGCGAGGGGCGCTGCGGGGGTGGTTCGCTTGTTTCCGCTGCGGAGAGGAGATAGCGAGTATTATCGGGGAACTAATTAAACTGGAACATAAGAAATAAAATAAAGGGAAGAAGGATTATCGTTCTCATGGTAGACTGCCGCCCGTTCGACCCCCTTTCGATCCCCCTTCGGCCACCCGTTTTCCTCCGTAGCCTACCATTCTAATGTTCGATGCGTTTCCACCTCGATATCGTCTCTCCGGCAGCGAGGCAACGTCGAAGCAGGTCCATGGTAGTGGCGGTGGTGGTGCTGGTTGTGATGCAGCGTCTATGGTGTTTCTCGCAGGCGTTACTGGAGGTGAGCGGTGTGCGCCGGGGGCTGGAAAGTATGTAATTAGCTGTAGGCATGAGATCCGGCGGATATTGTTCCGTGATGGCTGTTACCTGACCCGCACACCGTCGCCGCAACAAACCTGGTCGCAGTTGTTGTTATCTAACTTAAATGATCCCTGCAATAATATCGTTCGGTGCGGCTGTAACAGCGGTGCTACGATTTTTCGTTGCTTACTTGGCGAGGATACTGGAATGAGGTCCTCTGATATAGGATGCTGGTCGTTACGAAGAGCGTTGTTCGATTCATGATAAAGTCGCACAAAAGTTTTCCCGGGGATCGGAAGCATACAGAGGATAAACGAAATAAATTCAAGTTCAACGTTGTTCGTTTTTTAATGGGATAACAAATTTCCATCGTGTATAACATATGTTGTCATCCGGCTGACTTTCGGAGAGGGCGGGGGGTTGTTTCTTATTTATTTATTCATTTCTTAAGGGAAAACACCTTTAGCAGAACATCAAGTATAAATCATATTTAATCGACGTAGGTAGACATAGTAGCTCAATAAGAGAGTATAATAACGATCGACGAGAAATTACAACAACGTATGATATAACGATTGCGTAATAGGCTGACAGGACTGCCCAAACAAATCGATCAAATGGTAGGCCTTGTTTACATTAATAATTATTTGATTAATGCCTGTATCGTTGTGTTCGTAAAGTGTTACCTCGTGGAACAAATTGCCTGTATCGCAATAATTGCGAACATTTCTTTCCTCGTACTTTTTCTCCTATCACTTGAAACGACGAAGATATTCTAGGTGGACGTGTTGGATGGTCCATCCTGAATCTGCTATCTCTCAAACGTAAACTCTACACAGCAAAATGTTAAACATTTTTATGTATACCGTATCGAGTGACTATATGTGGTCAGCGTAAATTGTTCATGCAAATATCCAACAACAAGGACGTGTGGTATTTCAATTACTATGGATGAATGCAACATTATGAAACGGTAACGGGTTCGAAGCAAAGCTATCAGTCGGCAAAATATACTGTTTACATTGAAAATGACGTTCGAATGCTATCCGGATATAATACGTATACGGATAGACGGGGCGACGCCAGCCGCGCTACCAAAATTCAATTAGCGATCGATTTTTTTAGGATACGTGTCTCGCTCGCACCTTGCGCGCCTCTGTCGTCAATACCGATTGACGTATCGTAAATCTGCGATTCCAGTCATCCGTCACTGTCCCGTTGCAATCTTTCGGCTAGATTGTATTTCATAACAACAACTACACTCCTGGATGGACAATAAAAAGGCGCCTTCGGTCCCATTTAAACCTAGAGAAAAATCCCCTAAAATAAACCACCAGAGATGCAGTCGCTTGCAGAATGAAACTATGTTTATTATCTCGTATTCCGTATTTCGACGAGCGATACTTTTTCACCTTACGAATTTATAAAA